TGTAGGTTTTTACAATCAGATACCTTAAAACTCTTCTGGCCTCTATCCATTACCCAATTCCAAAACCACTTCCACGTTTTAAGTATCTGTTAGAGCAGCACCCCACTCTTCCAGTACCAAATTCTTGGTTATCTAGTGATGCTATAATATAAATACCACAGGTGAGTGGCTTTAACAAACAGAAATCAATTTTCTCACAGTTTATGAGGCTAGAAGTCCAAATTCAAGGTGCTGGCTCTAGAGGAAGCCTTTCTCTCTCTGTTGGCTCTGGAGGAAGGTCCTTGTCTCTTCAGTTTCTGCTTCCTAGTTCCTTGGAGATCTCCATGTATCTTGGCATCTATTTTACCCCATCTTTGCTTCTCTTGCTTGCTTGTTTAATCTCTTTTATATTTCAAAAGAGGTTGACTCAAGACTAATCCTACACTAATCCTGCCTCATTAACATAACAAAGACAACCTATTCTCAAATGGGATTATAACCACAGGCATGGAGGTTTGGAACTATGATACATATGTTTTGGGGACACAATTCAGTCTATAACAATGTATAAAAAAATTGATACATTGGACTTCATCTAAATTATAAACTTTTGTTCTTCAAATGACAATATTATAGAAATAAAAAATAAGCTATATACTGAGAGAAAATGTTTATATTTATATATCTGATAAAGGACTTGTATCCAGAATATATAAAGAACTCTTACAACTCAATAATAAGAAAAACAACCCAATAAAAAATGGGTAAAAATTGAACAGAAACTTTGCCTAAGGAAATATATGAATAGCTAGTACCGATATGATTATGATTAGTCATTTATTGTTGTTGTTAGTTGCCATCAAGTCATTTCTGACTTATGGTGACCCTGTGTGCAGAGTAGAACTGCTCCATAAAGTTTTCAAAGCTGTGACCTTTTGGAAGCAGATCACCAGACCTGTCTTCTGAGACACCTCTGGGTGGGTTCCAGCTGCCAACCTTTTGGCTAGTAGTAGGGCGCTTAACCATTTGCGACTAACAACAACAATTAGTCATTAGGGAAATGCAAATTAAAACCACAGTAAGATACAACTATACACCTGCAACAATGGGCTCAAAAATAACGATTGTGAGAATGACGCAGGACTAGGCAGTGTTTCATTCTGCTGTACATACAGTCACTGAGTTAGAACTGACTCGACAGCACCTAACAACAGCCATATACTTGCTGGAATGGCTATAATCAAAGGGACTAAAAACAAAAGACTGTTGGTGAGGATGTGGAGAAAATGGAACCATCATACATTGTGGGTGAGACTGTAAAATGGTACAGCCAAGTTGGAACACAGTTTGGCAGTTTTAAATAATTAAATATGTACTTAACATAAAACCTAGCCATTCTAATCATAGGTATCTACCCAAAAGAAATGAAAACATATTCAGTCAATAACTTGTATGTGAATGTTCATAGAAACATTATTCTTAATAGCAAAAATTTAATACAGAAAGGCAAAAAAGCAATATAAATGTAAAACAACTACTGAATGGATAAACAAAATGTGGTATATGCAGTCAGTGGAATACTAGTTAATAATTTAAAAGGAGCTAACTTCTGATACACGCAACAACGTGGATGAATCCCCAAAACGTTATGCTAAGTGAAAGAAGCCAGACACAGCTATGATTCACATATGAAATTTCTAGAAAAGGAAAATCTATATAGACAGAAAGCACATCAGTGGTTGCTTAAGGCTGGTGGTGGCAGTGATAACTGACTGCAAACAGCCACAGGGAATCTTCCTGGGATGATGTGAATGTTCTAAACCTAAATTTTGGTGATGGTGGTACAAATCTATAAATTTACTAAATATCATTGAACTGTAAAATTAAAATAGGTGAATGGTGTTTAAACTGTAACTCAGTAAAGCTGTTAAAAAATTCAGGGTCTCACAGGCCTATGTAAATTCATGAAAATTAGGCAGATGAACTTCAATGTTAAATGGAAGGAAATTGATTAGGGTTAAAAAAATTGGATTTGTGGTATGAGCCAGGATGTAGGAAAGAGATATAATTGTTGTGATATAGACATCTTTGCAGGCTTTCTCCTAAATATTTCAGCCCAAAATATGGAATAAAATAAAATAGAAACTACATGTCATAATAATAGGCAATGTTAAGTAAGCTATAATGAAGTGATTCCCTCTCCTATTAAATGTAAATATCTTTTACTCGTAAATTAAGTTTATTCTTCATGATTGTCTTTTTGAGGCCAAAGGGGAAGGCTGTGTGCCTGTGGGAAGGGTTTTAGTGTCTCCTTCGATGATATGGACATTTGCAGTGTCACTTCTTGCAGTATAGGTAGAAAGCGATCAGAAAATCAAAACTTGGAAGGTGAGTTTTAGGAGAAAGAAAAACTCTAAGTTCATTTTGAATCTTGATTTTGAAGAGTCTTTGAGTAGTGGAGACCTGCAGGAGTGGTGGAGAGATTACAGAAGGTCATTGATAAATGCAGTTACATTAAAAATAAAAATGACTTCAACCTGAAACAATGAACACTGAAAAGAAAATTTAAAAACATAAACCATGGCAGAGTTCATGTGGTTCCATTAAAATCAGCTTTCTCAGAACATGATACAAAAATTAAAATGTAAAAAAAGAAAAGAGATTCATGAAGCATTCAGATTAATTTGTAGGTGTATGACAGAAGAAATTGGAGGTGTTTGAAGTGGTTTAAAATTGCAAGTGCTCCAAAAATTCTTGTTGAATTGGAACAGCCTAGAATGGGACAGAACTGTATATCCTTTTGCTTATCACTTGCCCCCCAATCTCTGTCTATGACAGTTCCTGGCACATATTAGATAATCAATCAATAGTTGGTGAATGAATAAATGTGTTATGGTTTTCAAGTTTTTTCCCCCAAGCAATTATGATTTTGTTCATTAACCTAGTTCATATTCAACATTTATAGGCAAACACTGATCTATAAACTGCCCCTTGGCATCACTTCTGCATAGGCCTAATAAACAGGCCATTAAGATAACCAAGTCTGGCATTTCCCACATTTTAATGATATATGGGATTTTCAGAGTGGCCCCTCCAAACGTCTCTCCCTGAATATCTCCTTTCACTCCCATCTCCCTAGATATTTGGCATGTGTGTGTTTATTGTTATATACCCATAGTTAGTTAGCTTTCTATTGTCGTGTCCTTGTCACCATGCGTACCTGTAGTTACTTAGCGTTTTCATGTGCTCTGTCATGATTTCCTCAAGTGTTTCTCATAACCCCATTGTATTTTTAGTATCCTAACGTATTTCAAAATACATTATGCAATATAAAGCACTGACCAAATGTAAGGGATTAAAACCGCAAAACTAAAATCAACATTTTGAGGACAGTGGGTCAATTTAGGTGGGATCAATTTCAACAAGAAAGTGTGAACTTAATAAGCTATAAGAAAAATTAGTATAAATGAAACAGGAAATGATCTTGTAAAGGTAACTCAGGGTTATAAACATACTTTAGGCTGTAATTGGGATATCAAATTTACTTAGTAAGTTAGTGTATTCTGCTCAGCTTTATGTTTCATTGTTTGAAAAACACAGCATGAAGTAAACTGTAGCATTAAAAGCTAGCCTCATTCCAATTTATTTTTACAGCATAGTGCAAAACAACCCAAGCTGAAAGTACATTCAGGCACTGAGACTTAAATCCCTAATGGTAAGAAAGTAGTTCCATAAACAGATGTGATCATGGTTTCTGAGTTTATTTGCTTGTGGCAAAAATAAAAGTACCAACTCAATAAGTTTTCATTTATAGGTGTCTACAACAGACAGCCTTGGGCACTTTGAACAAAACTGACTAAAAATAAAATTTAGTAAAGTAAAACCTATTCTTCTCTATTTTCTATTCACACCAAACAAAAACTAAAGCAAACCCACTGCCCCGAGTCTATTCCAACTCACAGCAACCCTACAGGGCAGAGTAGAACTGCCTCATAGGATTTCTAAGGCTGTGATTTTTACAGAGGAGCCCTGGTGGTGCAGTGGTTAAGAGCTTGGCTGCTAACCAAGAGGTCAGCAGTTCGAATCCACCAGCTGCTTCTTGGATACCCTATGGGGCAGTTCTACTTTGTCGTATAGAGTTGCTATGAGTTGGAATCAACTTGACAACAAAGACTTTGGTTTTTGGTTTAATCTTTACAGTCCCTGGAGCAGGTGATGGGTTCAAACTGCAGACCTTCT